GTCTTCTCCTCCTGATTTTCCTCTTACACCTCAGCCTTCCCGTCGCCTTCTCCCCCTTCTATCTCCCCCGTCGCAACTATAAAACCCGCAAGCGCCCGAAAATCTCTCTTACGTTCTCTACTCCTAAGCCAGCTTTCGGGACGCAGTGGCTAGGCAGAGTGGGTTGATGCGAGTCGGAAAGTCCTGTCGGGCTGACGATAGGCTGGCCGGTTGCGCATTTGATCGCCACGACGGACTGTGGGATCCGGGCGGACCGTGTCGAGTTTACGACAGCGGGGTGACGATCGCAGTGGTGGGAGTTAGCACGCGACGGCCGGGATCGTCGGTGCGGGTATGAGGATCGATGATCGGAGTTGAGTTGATTGGCCCGGGGTCATATTGGAATTAACGGCGAATGCGCCTTTGTTGCGGATTGTTATCTTCGGCGTGAGTGTACGGCGGCGACGCCGAACTTTTCTCTTTCCGGATCTTGCCATCTTCTATTTTGATTTTCTTTCCCTCGACACTCTCTCTTTCTCTTTCCCTTTTTGAATGATGATGCGTCTGAATGATTGTCCCTCTCCTGAATGGGAATGAGTCGGCATCCTGTTTTTGTGTGAGAGAACATCTTCCGGAACTCTTCCATTAGTTTCCAGGGTAATCCTCCTACGTAAGGACCCTGTCTTCTTGTCTTATGAACGGTGGATGTGTGTGTACTGTGCAGTGCAATCCATCTTTTCCTATGCATATCGCATTTTTGCACCTTCCACAGTGAGTGCATGTATGGAAACGTGTGACTCTCTTTGTGTTGATTAGACAATTATCGCCGGGATTTTGTTCGAGAATGCAAGAGTGTTTAGATTTGTGCTTCCGAGTGCACTGCGCATGCCATCTGCCTTATGCTGCATAACATCAGCAGCCAAGCCGCCAGGCGGCCGTGAGAAACAAGATGTCAGGGACCAACGTTGTGTGGAACTGAGTCGCGGGTCGGTCCCGTGCATGATCAGGCTGATGTGTGGTTGCTCTCTCTCTCTCTCTCTCTCTCTCTCTCTCTCTCTCTCTCTCTCTCTCTCTCTCTCTCTCTCTCTCTCTCT